GGCATCAGATACGCTTCTACACTCCTGTCTCCTGATTAGGCTGTGCAGTTAGCTCGGGTACTCCTCAAGCCATGTTAACAAAAAGTTCTGCATACATAGCTATCAGGGAGATACAGACTAAATTTCCTTAAAGATTTCATTTCGCCCGTCATAATGGTCATCACCAGGATAAATAACAAATTCTGATATGAATGTTAGAAAAGGAACACTGTTATACACTACTTGGAATTATAAACTAGAGAAGCTTTGGAAAGCAGTCTACATTTTTCTTTAAAAAAAAAAAGCTAGAAACAGAATTATCCTATATACTATACTATTTAGCCATTTATCCATCAATGCTCCTCCGATTGTTACATACAACTCTCTGTGTATATTTCCCCAGGCCCATTTCATAGGCTGAGGAAAAGAGACTCCAGAATTACTCCAGCTCCTTTAGAAATTCTTGCTAAGAAATAGATTTGTCATGAATATAATGAGGATCAGGTTGCTCTGGTATGTTCTGAGGTTTAAGTTGTGCTGTCGTGTTCACGAGGTGTAAATAGGCATCCCAGCTCTGTAGGGAGGTGAGCACACAGAAAAACAAATGTATAGGTAGGGCCCATCCTTAAAGCCCAGGGTTCGTTCTGAGCCAATGGGCACATTTCACATGACAGGACTGCTTGTTTCACATTGTGGTGAGTTCTATTGCGTCTCTCCAGATGGAAAAACAATGATGTCCTATGTAATAGATTCTCCATATGTGCATGGATTAAACACATTAGTGATTTAACTCCATGTCACAAATAATGCATCCTAGCTGAGTCAAGGAAAAAAATGAAAGCATTTTCCCTTGGAGTCATTGAACTAAGAACAAGTCCAGATCTGAATTCTAAACTTGAAGCTCCCGGTCCCTTCCATCCTCTGGGTGTCTCTTCCATGAGTTTGAATCTGTGTCTGCCTGAAGGCTGTCTTGAGAATCTATCCCTGTGTGTCTATCTGCTGTATGTGTCTATCTGTCTGTCTGTGTTCTCTGTATGTGTCTGTCTACAACAAAGTGTTTTTCTCTGTCTTTATGGGATAGAATAGAAAGCACCACATGGAGTAGATATGAGAAATCCTTAACAGACATTAAAACCCTTGGAACTGGAATATGGATGGTTACAAGCCACCACATGAGTGTTCTTTGTTGCTGAGCCCGTCTCTCCAGCCCCCAGGTAACATTATCAAAACTGGAGTTTTAAAGGTTTGCGCAGTCTCAATATATGACATTCCCAGAAAAAAAGTAGACACTATCCTGATCTTGAATGTATTTACTGGAGAAGCAGCCATTTCTCCTGTTGCTCTGCTCTTGAGATTGTGTCTCCGAAAGAACAACCAGGCCTCTTTTTGCCCTTTCAAATCAAAGTGTCAAAAATGCACATATAAACTACATTGATATTAACAACAGATACTGGAGACAATACAAGAGCAAGAACATATGCACAGTGCTAGTAGGAATGCAAACTTACTGCACCTACATGCAACTCAGCATGCAGCTTTTTGAAAAATAAAACAACCAAATGAAAAATGAGGCTGGTGTGATGGAGCACACCTTAATCTACCCATTTGAGAGGCAGGACCAGGTTGAGTTCTGTGTGTTGGAGAGCATCCTAGTGTGCATGAAGAGTTACAGCCCCCCCAACCCCCAGGCTACACAGTGAAAATGAAATTAAAGCATATATTTCCCACAAAATATTCACTTCAAATCTGACACAAAACACTAAGATTGAAGGATTTTAAATGACAAAAAGATTAGCCTCGTAAATTTGGGGGAGAGGGAGTACTTAGAAAAACACAATATTGAACAATAAAGCTTTGCACACTTCAGCACTAGGACTGTCACTGATTCAAAGCACCAAGGATAGCTGCATGACCACACAGAGCCTCAGTGAGGAAGATGATGAGTAAGGTAACCATATAACAGGTGACATCCATGGCCTCAGACAGGGAAAAGCCCAGGACAGACAGAAGAAGGGTTGAACCTTGGGAGATGGTTTCCTGGCATAGTCAATAACCAACCTGCCAAACGTCATATCAATGCCAGCCCATGATCCAGCCATACCAACTGTGGCAACAAATACATTTTGCTGTGGTGTGAGTTTCCCAGGAGAACAGGTTAAGAATTACTGTTCTGGAACTTGAGTTATAGAAAGCTGTGAACTCAATGTCACAGGGCACATTAGGGGAACCGACCCTAGAAACTGCAAGAGCATCAAGTGATCTTAACTGATGAGCCACCTTTCTAGCCCCTGGTTTATTCCTTAATAAGCTACTGTGAATACTTAATGAACAGTGAGTCGGAATTCATGGAGTATTGAGGACACCTTCATAGACACTCATGAAAGACAGTGACACAGAAATGAGGTGACAAAGATACATTAAAGTTTAGCAGCAATAGGCATTGGCTGTAAAAGACATTTGTCCATAATTATGTGGTTGATAGCTTATAAGCATAAGAACAGTAGATCTGAAATACTATGTAGAAAGATATTAGAAAGGTTGCGTAGGAATTCAAGAAATAGAGACCTAAAGATAATACAGTGAGTCAAAGCAACATACTTGTTTCTGTGAATTGACAAAAGTACTGATGAAACATGTTTCATCAAATCCAAGTGATAGAAGAGTGAATCCCCAAGTAATACAACTAGAATTGAAGTGGGGACGTCACAGTGCATGCCAACGGCATCAGCATTACCTTATGAAATGCTGTGAAAAGTCACACACATAGACACCGTAACTGAAGAAGAGGATGATGAGCTCCTAGAAACAAATTTCCTCTCACACTGTCTGAGGACTGGGCAGATTCAGCACAGAATTCTCCTTTCCTTTAGACGAACCTTATGCTAATGCCAAGAGGAAAATAGTAAATAAAACACAAAGAAAAGGAATACTAGAAAGTCATGACAAAGAGCAGGCTTTCTTTACCTTGACACCCAAAGCAGGTGAGCCCAAACAAAGACAGACAAAGGAAAATCACAGACCAGTTGCCAGGATGGACATAGGCACAGATATTGTCTCTAAATTACATGGAAATAAAATGCAAGCTGATTTAATGCCAAGAATGCAAGACTATTTCAACCCTATGAATTAATCAATGTAAGGTGCCAAATATGTAGAGTGAGTAAGAGAAGAAACTGGACGATGTCAATAGATACACGAAAGACTTGTGGCTACATATCACAATACTCGGTATAAAAGCGCTGAAGAAACTGAGAACAGAAGGAACATACCTCACCATAATAAGACAATGAGACACAAAACTAAATATAACACTACAAAAGAAGGACAATTGGAATCATTTTTCTATAATCCAGACAAAGGGTACCCAGTCCCTCCATACTAACTCAACCCAAAGCATCAGTGGGTAGACAGTTCAAGGACGGAGAAAAACTACAAGATGCTCCAAAATTCTAAGAACAGGAAAAACCAAGAGGCATCAATTATCTAACTAAACATTATATTAAGATTATAATAATGAAAACATTTAACATTGATAAGACACAATCAATGATATGAGTGGCACAGGGACAGCATCACTCACATGAAAAACCAAACTAAATTATATTTGCCTCTGAGCATTAATTGTTACATAGAGAGTCTTCTAATACTTACAATAGGAATATTCTGAGATTATTCTCAGTGGAATTCTCTAGAATCATTTTGAATGAAACAGAATCTGGTGAAACCAAATTCATGCCCTGTTTCTTCTATAACTTGAGCCCTTCCCTATTCCTTCCTCAGTCCCGATCACATACCTGGATCCTCTGCTACTGCCTCCTCTCTTCACCATTCAGGGCTCTTGGTTCTGCTTCACAGGTGAGCAGATCTGGCTGAGCAGAAAGCACCTGGAACTTTTCATAGAACAAAAATAAATGATGAGTAACACCTGCCAACGGATAAACATGAAGGAGAGAAAAGTGTCACCTAAAAAAATGTTTCTCTTTCTCTGAGGATTTCATTTTACTCTGTAAGATGGGAGGCTCATTCACACACCGCTCATACACATGCAGAGTAGTTTTTCCAGGAAGGGAGACTGCAAGAAAATTATTCTCACCCTCAGAATCAAGATTGCTGCACTTCTCCAATAGGAGATCTCAGCTAAAAGCCCTGTGAGCAAGATCTAGACATTCCCACTCTTCCTACAAGAAAGAAGTCCACAGTCACAACAGTGAATGTCAACAAACCATGTAATAAAATACACCAGTTTGGCCATGTGTGCATGGACAGAGTGCTTTTCTTCAACCAAGGAGACATTTTTCTGATACAGAAGAATGACCATAATTATTCAAAAGATGCATTCTAATTTTGTTTACTTCTACAGTGAGTTTGCTAACTATGAAACAGTGTGGCCTGATATGCTCTCACAGCCTGTGTACTGGGCTTGCTTGGACCTAAGTTGTAACATAAGAACACAGCATATGAAGGCACATTTCTGAATATTGTATTTACATTCTAGACTGCAATATCTCAGATTAAAAATAATGGGGAGTAAAAACTTTGCTTAGTAAACGTTAATGTTTTCAGCCATAACTGGAACGCTTGATAAAGTATATTTTCTGATACAATCATCTGCAATGGTTCCTCATATGATTACTATCTACAAAGCTCTCTTAGGAAGTCTATTTCTCAGGGGCAAAAGCCACTCTATTGAATGGGCAAGTGTTCTAACGGAATTAGAAAGCATGAAATAATTTAAATTCCAGGAGCTTTGGAACTGCCACGATAGCAAAGTGAACCCTATTTGCAGACACTACAGATGCTCTACTAGATTATTTTAGGAATTATTGTATGGCAGAACAGTCTGGGAACAGTAAGGCAAGTAGAAAAAAACCACAATACACCCCACTTCATAGGATCTCAACCTTACCGACAACGGAACGATGTCCACAACAGAATTTTGGAAGCTGTGTCCTTCTGAGCAGCCTCCGCGCGCACACCCCGGTCCCTCCCCTCCCGTGTCCCAGCCCCGCAGCTCCTCTGACCTGGGAGGTTCCAGGGCCGCCGGGCTGCGGTTCCCGCCACTGCGCTGCTGACTGGTGACTTTCCCAGGCCGCCCGGGGCGGCGACTGCGGCTCCGGGGAGATTTCGTGTCCCCCGCGACCCCCCGCCGTGTCGTCCACACCCAGGTCTGCACCACGTGGTTCCCAAGTCCAACAGGGAATGGCGGAATTTCCTCTAACTTCCCTAAACACCTCGGAGCGGCTCCTCCTGGACCCTCCCACTACAAACCCCACTTCCGGTTACATACCTGCAGTAAAAAGCCTACCGCGGGCTCTTTTTGTTGATTACTTTCCCAGGTCCACCCCGCTGTTGCTTTTCTCCTAAAGGCCAATGATCAGGAAGTGTCCCCGCCCATTGGGGACCCGTCCCTCCCCCTCCGTCTCAGGCTGCCTTCCACACAGCTCCAGCTGTCAGGCTGCCCTGCACCCGCTCTGCACAGCCTCCCCACATGCTCGCTGCCAGCCTGGACCAGAACTGCATCTAGGAGGACGCTGCACCCCAGGCTCTGACCCCCATCAGATACAAGTTATCCCACCTAAGTTCTCATCTTGAGATACCAGCTTCCTGGGTTGAAAACACATAACGAAAGACAACAAACACTCCAAATTTTGATGCTCAAGTCCCATTCCCAGAACAAACTAAAACTAAGGAAAGCAAGTTAAATGATATCCAATATACAGAATTCAAAAACCTAAGTCATGTTCAAGATGGTCAAAACGTGTAAAGCATGTGAATCAGCTCAAAGATAGAAATGAAATGATTTGTGGGCAAGAAAATAGTAGCAAGTAGGAAGTGAGGACACTATAGGATATGAAAATTGAATTCAGTAACTAGTCAGAAACACCGAAAGAACCCAAACTGAAATGAAACAAAGAAAAAATGCAATAAGTCTAATAATAACTCAAAGATCAGGTAGGAGACAGAATATCAGGCTTGAAGACAAGATAGAGGAGCTGGATGGTTCAGTCAAAGACAATGATGAATTAAAACAAAATGCTCCATGCAAGTAGCACTAAAGGTAAAAGTGAATTTACAGCTGCATGATCTACTCTTATATGAAATAGTCTAAATTTTAGACACAGTAACTCACTCTGGAGAGCTTTACTGAGAAGCTGGATAAGCATTTCCATCACTATGCAAATGAAGTGACATAAAAAGCCATCTTTATCCTGCCCTCACAGACCTCCACTACTGCCACTTGGAATTACACTATTAGTGATATTGACTTGGGGGAAGACATTTCAGGAACTCAGGATTTTGGAAGGAAATGGATGTCTCAGGAAATCAGTTGTCAGCCCATTAACAGCCAGTGCTGAATTCATCCTGTGCTGTAATGCTTTCACCACTAAATGGTGAAATTGTTGTTTTGCTACCTCAGAAAAAGTTTGCCTTCTGAGAGGCATGCTAAAGGGGTGTTTATATTAGGCATAGAAAATTCCTTCTGGAAACTCAGTGGTGAATGGAGAAACTTGCCAGACTAAGTCAGTTTCACATGTAAAAAATAAGGCTGAGAAGGGCAAACTTACAGGTTTACGCTGCTAACAGTCTTCATGCTGAAAAGGACAAACTCACAAAACAGGTTTCAATGAAGTACAAACTTTTGTAAAACTGCACAGGAGAGGCCTTGGCATGTTAAGCCAAGGCGCATGGCAGGTGAGGGAGACATGCCATGCAGGCAAGGCAGGTGGTGGTGTGGAGCACTAGAAAGTTACTTTTACCATGCAGAGAAGCAGAAAATTTTTTGGGTGGAGGGAAAGGGGAAGGGAAGAGAGGGAAGAAGAGAAAGAGAAAAGGGAAAAAAATAAGAGAGAAAGTGTATACTAACTCATAGCAAAAGAGAAAGGGAAGAAGGGGGGTTCTTAAAGGGGACTTTATGTAAAATGACGTGGTCAGGATGCTGGGCAGGTCTGAATGCTAACATTCCTCCAATTTTGATTATTATAAAAAGGTGAGTTATGGATAGCAAGGTGTGGGATATGAGGGCACTGAATTCTCAAGACTGCTTCCTGCTGATTTGGGGGCAAAGTAGAGAGGGGGATGTTGGGAGCCATGGACAGCGGGAGGTCTAAGTGAAGAAGCATTCAGTTACCTGTCCTCCTGGAGACCCTTCAGGGAGCTGAGATGGCAGGATGCTAAGGAAAAAAAAATAGTTGTTATCATTGGCCTCATGAGCAGGCCTGGCGATGGGAAGAGTGATAACTGCCAGAAAGAATGGGAGGGGGAAGCGCCTGGTGTACAGAAGAGGCAAAGGTGGATGAGCCAGATGAAAGGGCAGATATCCCCTTGAGTCTGGTGGTACCAGAGTGAAATTCCAGGAGCCTAGGAGAATGGCATGCCAAGTCAGGAATACAGGAGCCGTCATATTTGCTGTTTTCTCTGGAGTGGGAAATGGCTTTATCCATCCCATAAAAGTATCAATGAATTAGGAGATAATGGAGTTTTTATGGGTGGGCAAGTGGGTGAAGCCAACCTGCCGGTATGCGCCAGGTTGGTGTTCTTAGTTGGGGCAGTGGCTGGTGGTGTACCTGGAGGGCCCCTGAGGGTCTGGCCTTGGCACGAGTCTGGCAGGAGGGGTGGATCTGTGCAGGAACCTGGTGTGTAAAACAACTGGAACAGATTTACATCTTGGTGTCATAGCAAACGCTATGGCTTTGGGTTAAAAGGTATGAACATTTTCTAGTTTCAGCCCAATGAAACACATTCTTAAATCTATAACCAGAGGAAATTTACTGAATGGAAGTGGTTGAGTAAGTGAAGGAGGAGGAGGGAGGCTTCCTTACCCTTTCTAATGCTAACCTGCCTCCAAAAGCTGGGACCAGTAAAGTCCACAGACATTTAAGGACCCCCAAGACTGTCTATAGTCAGTGCTCCATCAGCTTATCAAAACTGCATTTATCAATGTTAAAACTCTGAACTTATGAAGTTACATCTGAAACCAGTTTATCCTGTATCATGAAGTCTATGAATGAGGCACACTTATCTGTTCTTTTAACAGGAAACTACTGGGATAATATTGTGTTCCCCAAAATATTGTGCACCCTACTAAACTTATCTGAGGTCAGAGACAGAACAGCCACTAGATACAAAGGCTAGAAAATGGTGGCACTCACACCTTTAATCCTAGCATTCCATTAGTAGAAATCCCTCTGGATCTCTGTGAGTTCATGGCCACACTGGAAACAGCCAAGATGGTGACTCATGCCTTTAATCCCAGAAAGCGAGCCTTTAATCCCAGGGAGTGGTGGTAGAAAGCAGAAAGATATATAAGGCGTGAGGACCAGAAACTAGAAGCATTTGGCTGGTTAAGCATTTGGCTGGTTAAGCTTTTAGCTAGTTAAGCTTCAGGCTTTTGAGCAGCACAGTTCAGCTGAGAGCCATTCGGATATGAGGACACAGAGGCTTCCAGCTGGAGGAAACAAGCTGAGAAGTTGGCCAGGTGAGATTAGCTATGGCTTGTTCTGGTTCTCTGATCTTCCAGCATTCACCCCAAAAACTGGCCTCAGGTTTGATTTTATTAATAAGAACTTTGAAGATTCCTGCTATATCTGACGCCCAACATTCGTGGTACAAATTCATAAAAAAGCTGCTTGCCTGTGGCCTTGCAGACCTGGTTGTGGTGGTGCACGCTGGTAGTATTTGCTGAATGAGGCAGAGGCAGGAGGATCTTGAGTTTGAGGCAGCCTCGGAGGCTTGCTACGGAGAAGCTTCGGCCATGGCCCAAGCAGCGGGACCATAGAGGCAGTGGCTGCTGCTCAGAGTTGCTGGCTCCTTCTCATCGTGTTGGTGACTATGGCGATGCTGCTACCTGGGACAAAGGGTTTACTACTGCTTGTTCAGAGAAGAATTGCCAGGACCATTGTGTTACAAGAAAGCATCAGCAAAGGTCAGTTTGGAAAAGTTTGGCAAGACAAATGGTG